GATCTATGACTACTTTCATATACAAAACTATTAGTACTTTACAAATCAGAACAAACATTACCCTGAATTCTTGTTTTGTTGACTCAAGCTCTCTTAGTTCAATTTAACTTGGTTTACCTGTACAAAAAAAACAAAACAAGTACAAACATTTTTGGAACAAATATTTCATTCCGTTCCTATTTTTCTACAGATTCTGAAACAAACACCCCTGAGAGACTGTCACAGTAGCACACGCTGCTGGTGCTTCCTTTCAGCTTTCTCTTTTCAATCAGACAGTATCAGTGTTAGTACGTTCTGCATTATGAAGTCTGACTCCATGTTGATTTTGAGTCACAGCATTTCTCCTTTTTCAAAGGTCATTGCTTGCCATTTGAAAAAATGGTGTACTAGTCTTAGTATTATTAACCAAATAAAATATATTCTAAAAACATTTTGAAACGTGTTTCAAACATCAAGCTGAACCTGTTTTGAGTCCTGACTTCCAGTGGTCCTCTTGGGTTTGTGTGACTGGAAATATAAGTGATAAACCTGCTGGTGTTTTTCCCCAGAGCAAGGGTCCTCGACCCTGCGAGCTCCCTGACTCTTTTCTCATTAATCTTTCTAGATCCATTTTTGAACATCATTAGAGGAGCAAAAACAATAACTTAGTATTGGCCTGAAGAAATTCCTCAAGTGAACCTCAGGTTAATAGTGCACTTAATAATGATACCCTCTATTTCTCAAAGTGTCTTCAGATCCCTTTGAAACCTCTGTGTCGACCAGAAGATCTCAGGATTTGTGTCATATTCTGACGCCATGAGGTGTGGTCTCTTTCCAGACATCCGCAGTCATTGCGGGATGTCATTTTCATTCGCAAACAGGTCGAGTCCGCTTTCTACGAGTTTGTCCGCTGAACTGATGGCGCTGGTTACCAGAGTCAGGGACTGGTTGACGTTGTTGTGCCAGGGGACCTCCAGGGCATCCTTCAGGATAGAGAAGCGTGGAGTTTGTCTGCCCAAGCAATAGAGAATGTTCCTGTGTGAGAGAGAAACCAAAGAAAGTGGGGTCTTCAAATGGAACACAAAGTTATAATTAATGAAAAAATTCAAATAACATTATAAAAAAAATGAAAGTAATAATACACTCAAATAAACCACAAAAAAATTTAATATATTCAAATAATAATATTATTGACGTTCATAAAAATACAATTAATAAATAGTAATTCCAAAATATAAATAAAAACATGAATAACTTAATAAATACAAATATTAATAAACAAATGAACGTTCTGCATTATGAAGTCTGACTCCATGTTGATTTTGAGTCACAGCATTTCTCCTTTTTCAAAGGTCATTGCTTGCCATTTGAAAAAA